CTTCAAACTAGACTGTGTTGCAGTACACAAGTTGCCATAATAGTAGAAAGCAGTAAAATGTGGTAATAAAACCTCATCCTTTTCATTTTCAAAGATAACACGAGACCTTTGCATGTGGTAATCTCCAGCATAGTTCATTTTTAGATTTGGTTGAGTCCTGTAACCAAAATGTTTCTGTTGTGGTAGGATACCGTGCTGTGTTTCAATGTTACTTGTTTTCAAACTTTGTTTTCTATGAAAATGATATGGAAACGTCTAAAAATGAAATTTGGTGCATATGTACTGCTGAATAAAGAGCGAAAAAAAAGAGGTGTGAATAGATGTACAAATCAAGTCATGGTTTGAACACCTTTAATATGCCTAATCCAATTGTTTTAGACTCTTTTTATCTTAGATGTAGGCAGCCATGAACAATCTATTTTGAGCCACTTTAGAGAGGAGAAAAAAAACAAAAAAAAAACTTTGTATTTTTAAAACTTGCACGAAAAGGATGCAAGTGTTTTTATAATTGGAGGAATGCCTCAGTTTTGAGGTGGTGCACACTAAATTCAAGGTGATGTTACAGATTTGTACAAAGGGAACTCTTGATAAGGTGGCTCACTGTAGGAAATGCTGTGCCTTCCCCTTTGAGCACAAGTGTTGCATGAACAACAGTTTGCTATAACCAACCATCCCAGGTTAGCCACCATCAGCATCTCTGTCTACCTTGTGTTTTCCAATCAGCTGGTAATCCTGAAACACTGTAGAACGGATAAAAGATTATTTTGTGATCATAACTCTTTGTTGGACTAGAGTATTTTTGCAGCATTCCTTGTCATCAGAAAACATGGTTAAAAGTTTAAAACTTAGAAGCAGCGGAAAAACTAGCTTGTGAATTTATCCAAGTAGAGTGCAGGCTAGGCTGTCTTGGGGAAATAAACATTAAAACTTGCAAACCTGCTGCCCTGCCTGTTTCTTTATGGAATATTCACTTTTTTTTTTCAGCATGAAGCACAGAGATTATGTGAAGAAAGTGACTTTTAAAGGCTCTGGGTTGGGTTTTTACCTGTTCAATATTTGTGTGTCGCAGGTTGGAAGCGTGGGGTTATTTTGCTCTAATTGTTAAAAAATCACAATTTTATTTCAGTTTTCCTTAATTACTCTGTATATCCACTGAATAAATCAGGGATGGTTTCATGGAAAACGTAAGGAATCCATGGAGGAGGGAAATGAAATGCTTTTTATGGAAATTGCAATGTTCTAAGGAAAATTGAAACCAGTAAATCATAATTTCGCCCTCAAACACCTTTGTGAGGGATGTTCATAGAAAATGGAACAAATTGTTTTGCAAACTTTTCTTGTTGGGGTGGGAAGGTAACAGGTATTTGTGGCAACTTCTGTTTTCCTAAAAATACCCCCAAAACTCCATATTTAATGCCAAAAAATGCCTTTTTGGGCACTTCCTGGGTATAATGTAACTCCAGAAAATTTCCTTGAGCTGGTGCTGCTCCAGATTTTCCATTTTTTGGTGGATTTGGGGCTTTGGGGTGAGTTTTTAACAGGGAAATTCTCTTCCCTGCTTCCCAGCAGATCTGTCCCCGTTATTTCACCAAAACACGGGAATGTGAAATATTCCCGAATATCCACAGGGTGGCGCCACCGGAGCCAATTCGGGTTTTGCCTTTTTTTCCCCAAATTTGCATTTTGAGGTGACGCCGTTGATTCCTTTGTGGGGGATTGGTTGGGGAATCTGGGATACAAACAAATAATTTGGGAATTGCCTCTGGGAATACCGATCACTGAGTTTGGGTGTTGTATCCATATTTAT